TAGATTTAGTCTTCCTTGCACATAATAATAACACAGTGTAGTACTGAAATATACTTTCTGTAATACGATGTGGTGCTTTATAGTTTGTGTCTCATTTGTTCTTCACATTAAGCCTGTGAAGTAGGCAATGGCCCCATTTGTCAAATGAGCAGACCAACTCAGAGAGCTTAAATGTGCTTCAGGGTAGGTGCCAGGAAGCCAAGGGTGGGAGCTGGGAAATGGAAGATCCAGGATATAAACACCAAGGCCAGTGGGCCTTCTATTTCAGCTGCACAGATGCCCAAATGAGAAGCTAAGCTGAGACAGCATTTCTCAAACCGGGACAGTTTTGCTCCCCAGGGGACATTTGGCAATACCTGGAGACATTTTTCATGAGCCCAATTTCATTAGCCTGATAGGTGCCACTTTACTGGCACCTATTGAATAAAAACCAAAGATGCTGCTAAACAAACTACAATGCACAGGACAGCCCCACCCACCCACCCTGACACACAACAAACAATCATCTGATCCCCAAATGTCATAGAGCTGAGGTTGAGAAACCCTGGCTTACAAGTATCCAGAGATAAGAGTTCCCATCCGTAGCCCTAAGGGCTTTCCCTTCTGTCTTCAGCCACAGGAAAACTCAATCAGCCATTACTGTTATTTCTTCTTTATCAGAAGCGGGTTGGAAATATATAGGCCTGCGTATCAGGAGCTAGAGCTGAAGGACTCTTCTTCCTGCCATCCGTTCTAGTTTTCACAGGACGAGCGCACACCAAAGCTTTGACCTGTGCTCATGGTTACTGAGCAGAGAGACACTGTAGATGGACAGCTATAGGGCCGTGGGGTACCCGAGAGAGGGGAGGCAGAAGGAGGGAGAGAGGGGAAGAAAAGAATGGTGAGTAATCGTGACAGGGGAGCAGACACTGAGAGGGGGTGAGAGATGAGGAAGGATGAAGGAGAAAGGGAGAGCAGGAGGGATGTTCGGACTTGGATGGAATGGGAAGAGCATCCCAGGTCACGGAGGAGGGGGGAGTGGGGGCCTCCCTGCCGCCTCGGCAAGCTTCAGGGAGTGCGATTTTAATGTGAGTCTAATTAAGTCAGAAGCAGTTTCCATTATTCACACTCTGCTCCAGCGGTTTCTGAGCCCACACGCTCTACTACACTCTGGAGAGGTTCAGCCGGTGGTGACTCTGGATCCTTATTCATTGCAGAAGGAAGGGAGAGCAGCCTGGTTCCCAGCTGCTGGTGGTCAGACCTGGGCCAAAGGCCTTTCTTGCCGTTTCCTATCTTGTTTCCTCCAGATCGTGCATGAGTGGTGGTGGGAGGGAGCACAAGAGGCGTCTGTTGGTGAATTTGTGTGGGGCTGTAAAGCTCAGGGAGAGAGGTTCAGCCACAGGAGCATTTCAAGTGTGATGACCTCATCCATCTGATGGCCCAATGAAAAGGAAGAGTTTTGCCAGTGGCTTTGGCTTTGTGCAGCAAACCTTGCCTGGGCCTCCCAGGAGAAGTCAGACAAGCACAGATTTAAAACACAAAGTCAGGTCTCACACCAGATCCCGGCCTCATTGACCTCCACTACTGTGGGTTCCTTTGGAGTCCCTTCAGCCTAGTGCCACTGCCTGGTTAAGGAATGGCCTCCCCAACATCAAGATTCTCCAGAAAAGGACTAAGCTAGTGGCCAGGGCAGTGAGGGTCCAAGAGGCCATGGCCAGCTCTGTAACTTACTGAGGAACCTGGAGGGAGAGACCTATTATCAGCAGAATGAACCAGGAAAGTTTTCATGGAAATCACAGCCTTAAGTGGGAATTTTGCCAGAAGGAGTTGAGGCTGGTGAGGAAGAAAATTTTGAATAAATAGAGCCACAGGGAAACAGCCCAGGAGGTGTCCCTTTTGATTGGCGTATGGAATGGTAACAGGAAGAAGGACTGGAAGGACCCATTGAGCCCTTATGTGTAGGGACTTAAATGCCAACTTGAAAATTAGTGTCCAGTATTGTGCAATTCAAGGGAAACTGTTGAAGGTTTTGGGGAAGTGAAGTGTGGTATAATTAGAATCCTGGATGTGAGATAGCAGGTGGGGGTCCTGCCTGGATCTTCGTATTCTCCTTGGAGTTTTCCAAGAATGCGCAATCAGAGAGGGATGAGCTGCTAAGAGGCCACAGAAGGTTGAGAGTACGGGTTCCAAATGTTTAGCTTCTTATTACTGGACCTAGGTCGAATTGTACTAATAGTTACAACAGCTTAAGTTGAATACAACAGTTCAGTTGAATGTCCCTGAAATTGGCTAATAAAAACCATTCCTGCGTTGACCAGCAAGCTGCCTAAGCCTTAGTGATACAGTAGAAGATCCAGTCTAGGAATCAGAAAGACTGGGTTTATGTCTCAGGTCTCCCTTTGCTAACAGTGGGTGTGTACTGCGGGAACATCATTTAATCCCTCTGAGCCCAGTTTTATCATCTATAAAATGAGGATGATGGACACTTCTCAAGGCTGTTGTAGGGAGTAGATGCATGGAAGTGTCTAGCCCAGACCATGGTGCATGGTGAGGGCTCAGTAAACACTTGCATCTTATCTCCACCTCTGTCCCCCATGCAACACACGCCTCTATGCATTAAGCCTTGGTGTCCCGTTACCAGGTGTCCCTTCCCCTGACGGTAGCTTAAGGTAAATGCAGCCTCCTCCTGAAGCCCAGGGCCCTGCATGCACCCCACCCGAAATCAGACCCTAGCTCAGGCACTTTTGTTCAGATAGTCTTGGGATTCCCAAGCTCAAGGCCCCCTTCCCCTCCTTCGCTTCCTTTTGCTTCTTTATTATCACACTCTCTTCACAGGTTTCCGCTCCTCTCTGCCCTCTTCTGCCCACAGTCCCTCTGTCATGCCGGCTTCCATCACAGAATTCCAGCATTGGTAGGAAGGGAGTTTGGAGGTCAGCCCATCTGCCCTCGGCCACCTTCTGGCAAATGGGGACCCTTCTCTGATCCCCCAAACACTAACGTTTACTTAACTTTTCTATGAATGTCAGGGCTGGCTCAGGAAGCTGTGGCTAAGGACTGTTGAGTTCAGGACACCTCCCTCATCTATATAGCAGGGGCATCTCCTGATCCCTGGGACCACTTAGCTGGTCAAATATGACTCCTGGAAGGAAATAAAGCAACTGCTACTTGTTTGGCACCACACACATGCACACACACACACACACACACACTCACACACTCCCCCCAACCCCCACATCTGCTGAAAACCCCAGAGTTCAAGAGAAGTCACAGGTTCTTCACCTCCAGCCCATCAGCAAGGGACCAGGCACAGGGCGGACCATATGGATGGGCACCAAAGCAAGAGAGACATTTTCGGGTTGGAGATTCCCAGCCTCAGCAACCTCAGAACCACTGGACTCCTCCCCCAGCCGGAGACAGCTGCCAAGTGCAGGAGTCCCTTAGAGACCCTGGCCTTTGGGCTCCTGTCAGATAGAGAGAATGGAAAGGAGAATAGTGTTTCACGATACAAAAAAGTTATCTAAAAATGTTTCCTTTACTGAATTCCGTTCTCCCTTCTACGTGTTCTTTTTTTATACTAATTTCTCATTTGAGTCAAAAATTATTTCACCAGAGAGGTGGTGATTAAATCTGATAATGAGGAGAAATACCAATTAAGTCAGGCTGCACAAGCAGGCGGCAGCCCTCAGTGACATCCTTATTGGAGACTGCGGCTCAGCCAGCGCTCCTATCTCCACCACCCTCCCAGTCCACATGCCGGACAGGACCCGGGCTTCATCCCCCTCAGAGCCGGGGGGAGGGGGGGCAGGAGCAGAGCGTTTCTCTCCCCACACCGCCTTATAGCTCCCTCACGCCACCCTTTTCCTACTCCCTTAGAATCCGCTGCCTGAAAGTCCCATGTCATCTTGGACCCCCGTCCTATTCCCTGCCTTGCCCCAGCCCTTGCACCAAGCCCCTTCCTCGGGGCCACAGTGGCTCGCAGCCCAAACACTTCAACTCATTGTTGACACTATCTACCTGGAGATTGTGTCAGATCCCACAGGTCAAGGGCTCAGTTCCGCAAGGCTGTCCACCCCCTCCCCCTACTTCAGACACCAATCTCAAGTCCAGGTTGTCATCTGTGCCTCTGACCTACCAGCTATAGATCCGAAGTTCCTGCAATCCCCTCCTTGGGTTCAATCAATTTGCTAGAGTGGCTCACAGAACTCAGAGAAATATTTTACTTAACGTTACCAATTTAGGGGCCGGCTCCGTGGCCGAGTGGTTGAGTTCGCGCGCTCCGCTGCGGCGGCCCAGGGTTTGGATCCTGGGCGCGGACATGGCACCGCTAGTCAGGCCACGTTGAGGCGGCGTCACACATCCCGCAACTAGAAGGACGTGCAACTAAGATATACAACTGTGTACAGGGGGGGTTTGGGGAGATAAAGCAGGGAAAAAAAAAAAAAGATTGGCAACAGTTGTTAGCCCAGGTACCAATCTTTAAAAAAAGAAAAAAGATTACCAATTCATTTTAAAAGGATATAACTCAGGAACAGCCAGATGGGACAGATGCATAGGGCAGGGTGTGGGGACAGGGTGCGGAGCTTCCATGCCCCCTCTAAGTGCACCACTCGGCCAGCACCTCCACGTGTTCACTATGCTGGAAGCTCTCTGAGACCTGTCCTCTTGGGGTTTTATGGAGGCTTCATTACATAGTCATTATGGATTGAATTATTGATCATTGGCAATTGATTCAACCTCCAGCCCCTCTCCCCTCCCCAGAGGTTGGGGGGTGGGACTGAGTCCCAACCCTCTAATCACAGGGTTGGTTCTCCTGGCAACCAACTCCCATCTTAGGTCTATGCATTCCTGGTGGCACCTTATTTACATAACAAAAGACACCCAGATCCTCTCATTACAAGAAATTCCAAGAGTTTTCAGAGCTCTGTGCCAGAAATAGGGATGAAGACCAAATGTATACTTCTTATTATAAATCACAATATCACAGAGGGACATGGACAAAGCCGAGCAGACGATTGACTAACCTGGTGAGAGTATCGGGCTAGATTCCTCGGGCTGAGCTGGTGGTTCTCAACCATGGCCATGCATTTGAATCACCAGGGAAGCATTTCCAACTCTTGGTTAGCAGGCTGAAGTCTAGATCGATTAAATCAAAATGTCTGGAGTCAGGAGCCAGTAATAGTAATTAATACTGTTCAAAGCACCAAATATATAACCAAACTGAGGCTCACTGGGCTGAGGATGACCTACCTTTAGATTAAGTGGCCAACCATCCTGAGTCTGCCCAGGAATAGGGGGTTCCCTGGGACATGGGAAATTCAGGGCTAAAACCAGGAAAGGCCCAGGCAAGGTGGAATGAGTCAGTCACCCTGTCTTCACACAGCTGTAACTGAGAGAAGCCCAAACCTCAGGGTGGAAGCATCTTGTCTATTTTCAAGTCTTTGGGGTGTATTAATCAAACAGTGTGAACCTCGGAGTCAGAGTGGGCCAGGCTCCCTCACTCACTAGCTATGCAACCTTGGGCAAGCTGACTTTTCTACTGAGCACTTCAGTACTTCTCTGTCCTTCCTTCTCACCTTCCCTGGGGGTCACAGATTGAGCTGCATCCAGTGGGCTGTGTTCTCTAGCACATAGGGCCAGATGGAAACAAGTTTCAGAAGGCCAAGAGAACTGGGGACTGGAAGGTTGCTAGAGAAGAGCAGGGACGAGGGGAGAGCAGAGGAGCAGATGAGACCTGCCGTGCTGGGGTTACCACTGGCCTGGGGTGTGCCCTAAGCATGCATGCACTCCTTCTTCCAGCTCCTTCCAATGCTGTTTGGCAGAATTTAGCAAAGAGGAGCCCTATGTCCAGAATCTTCCCTCGGGGCTTCTCTCAGGGTAGCCACCTGCTTCTGTGTCCCCTAGTTATGCCCCTGGCCTGGAAATGTGGTACAAAGACTGCCAGACTACAAGGACTCTGAGCTTTCTTCCACTGTTCCTGGTGTGGGCGCAGCCACCACACCATCCCTCTGAGAACTGAGTGAGCATGTTGGTTCATGTGTCTTGGGTTCGCATTCTCTCAGTCCCTTTAGTTTCAAACCATCAGGGGGTTGATTTATCTATGAAATGTGTAATAGTTGTGCAGTTCTGACTGCAGACCAGACTTTTAAGTCACACAATTAGAAGCTGAGGGAAAAAAGTGTGAGTTATTAAAAGAGGCTGCATCTGGAGGATTCCCAGAGACCTCTCCCAGGGCACCTCTTTCATGTCTGGCCCATGCCCCCACTCAGCCAGAACAAGGCCTGAACCTGAGACTAAAAGTCCACCCACCCATTCATCCCATCCATCCATCCATCCATCCACTCACCCATCCATCTGTCCATCCATCCATCCATCCATCCATCCCATCCATCCACCCACCCATCCATCCATCCATCCATCCATCCACTCACCCATCCATCCATCCACCCACCCATCCATCCATCCACCCATCCACCCGTCCATCTATTCATCCACCCATCCATCCATCCATCCATCCACCCACTCACCCATCCATCCATCCGTCCACCCACCCATCCATCCATCCATCCACCCACCCACCCATCCATCCATCCATCCATCCATCCATCCCATCCATCCATCCATCCCACAACTGTTTATTGATGACCTACTATGTACTAGAAATAATCTTATGCCTGCTGTTCTGTTACTCACAGTCTACCTGTAACAAAACTTAAGATTCTCCAGGCATAATCTCCTGGGAACTAACTGGGCCTCCCCATTTGCCAAGCAATGGTGTCCAACCTGGTGAGATTTCCAGGTCCACAGGAGGGTGCCCCTTCCTTTACCACTGTTTTTCTCCCAGCCAATCTTCTGCCACCTGAAACTCCTTTAACACCCTTCAGTCCATCACAGACAAGACTTAAAAGCAAGCTCTCCTGAGTTACTATCTTGATTTGGACTCACTGTAGAGTAAAATTAACAAGAGATTGCTGCAGTCCAGGAGGCTGTAAACTCAAATGCCTACAAGAGCTAGGCATAGAATGGGATGAGGTGAGACCGATGGAAAACAATAGGGAGTGGTGAGGATTGTGGCAAACTGGAAAGCATAGTCTCATTTAAAGGAATCAGCCAATTATTGAGCTTTCTCCAATCATTTCCACTTGGGAATGCAGATCTTGTGTGACTGTACTGTCTCATTTTTCAAGAGAAGTCAGGAATCAGATTTTGTATGTAATTTCCTAACTTTTAAAACAATGAAGGCTGAAGAAATACCTATGCTTGCCAGATTCAGTTTGCATGCTGCTCCCCATAACTGCAGACACTGAACCACATACTCTGGCAGGGAGGAGTCCCAGGAGCCCTGTCCTTGGCCAGGCTTCTTTAGATTCTTTCCTCAGGACCATTTCTGATAGGGGACACCCTGAGGCCTTGACCTGGGGAGAGGAGAAGAGAAGAGTGCATCATGGGCAAAAAAAATATGGGTGAAGAACAAGGAACCTGACATCATGGGAGACTAGACCACCTCATGTTCTGAGATTGCTTCTAGAAATTCTTGTGTCTCAGCTGTCATTTTCAAATGACCTGATTTCCATCAAGCCTGGTGGGCAGGAGGGAGGTGATCTGATTTACGGGTTAAAACAATCACTCTGGCTGCTGTGAGGAGAAAGGGGGGTCGTAGCAGGGTCCAAGTAAAACAGTATGACCGCTGAATAGGCTACTGCAGTGGTCCAAGAAAGAGCCGATAACTGTGCCTAAGGTGCGTCAGCCAAGGAGGCTGGTACCATGGAACAGACAGGGAAGGCTTCCCAGATGCTTTGGGCCGCTGGCCTTGAAAACAGCAGCAAGTTTGTCAAAACACTGGGAAAATGCCACTTCAGGAACCAATCATGCCTTATCAAACATTTGTCCAAAATCTTTCCCTTGACCCCAAAGCTGGCCACTAATTGTCACCAGTCATGTACCCCACAATCTTGAGCTCCCAAGCCCATCAGACTTCTCACTCCTCATAAGATCCTTCCAGCAGCCACCTTATTTTCCATTCCCTCTTTCTCTAAGGCTCTCCTCCTCGCCATCTCTCCCTCTCTCACCTTCTTCCTGTGTCTATTCCTCAGTAACAGACTCAGACACCTCCTCCCCTCCAGGCCCACACGGCACCATATTTGAATGTTGCCAAAGCCCATTTCTATTTTGCTGACTTACAGCACAAGCCATTGGGTATATGTGCTCCCAGCCTGGATTTCGAGACCTTGGGAGCAGGTATCACACTTTATTTCTTTATATATTCATCCCTCAGCTCCCAGTAAGTGCTTTGTGAACACAGTGTTTGTAGAAGGAAGAGAAGGGAGTGGGGTGAGGGGTGGGGGCCTCTTACTAGTTGTAGCCTAGCAGCTCATTGCTCTCCTCTTCCCGTTTCTCCCCTCCACAAATAGAATCCACAAGTGGGACATACTGGTAAGCCTGAGTTCTCAGACTAAACAGGGAGGTGTCCTCTTCCACGATTAAGGCTCAGCCCAAGCACGCATCTTCCCGTAGAGCCTTCCCTGATGGCTCATCCTTCCCCACATCCCATCCTTTCTCACACTCCATTAGAATCACCGATGTGAGTGTCTGTCTCCCCAGGGCAGCTCCTGAGTCTGTGTGCCAGGAGAGAGCGGGGAGGGAAGGAGCAGTGTAATGAAAGAAAGGAAAGAAGGAGGCGGTAGCGGGGAGCCGGGACTGCGGGGCCACACAGACCTGGGTTGGAGTTCCAGCTCAACCACGTAATAAAATATGTGACCTTGTAGGAGTTACTTCACCTCTCTGAGCCTGAATCCCTACATTTAGGGATTGGCTTGAGGATTCAGTGAGGTGACAGATCTGAAGTGCTTGGCACAGAGCATGGCGTAGTCACTCAGTAAATGTTTGTTATTTTTACTTCATTGTCATGATTAGTTTTAAGAGAGAGAACAGGAGGAGAAGGAAGGATGTTGCAGTCACACTAGGCTGCTGTCACAAGCGTGTCCCATGGGCCTCCAGGGCTTGGGCTGGCAACAGCTGTGGCTGCGCCCCTTAGCAGCGACACAGGGCTGGCTGCCTAAGGATGCGTAATTAACATCCAGCCGACTGAAGCTTCTCTTCTGAAAAGAAGGGCAAGGATGCAAACCCCAGGGTCCACCCTGGAACAGGAAGTTCACAGGGCCTAGAATGCGTGGCATCAGTGAACTGAGAGAGATGGCAGGACCCCAAGAGGAGGCGGCAGGAGCAGCACTGCTGTGTGAATAGTGCTTCATGCATCCCTGTGCGGGGCCGGCACTGGGCAGAATGGGGCCACCCAGGAAGTGGGCCATGGAGCACCACTGTCCCCTCGTTCAGGACCTTTCAACTCCTCTAAAGTACTTCTGCATGCACCCCCACAGACATGCACACAGCAGAAACCTCTGCTTCACTCGCCCACCAGGTCCTATCTAGGTCTACCTTCTCTAGGCACTGGCAGACTCCAAATAGCTCTCTGCCTTAGCAAAACGGCTCTCAGCTAGTTAGCACTTTAGAATGGGCTAATTTGTGCTATGGTGTTAATGTCCACTAAGACTGCATGTCTACTCATTCAGTGCTTTAATAGGAGCAGTGCCTCACATTAGTGCCTATTAAATAGTGGGTGTAAACATTTGCAGTATGTCTGTGGAGTCTGAGACCAAGGCAGAGGGTTGGGCAGATTAACCAGGCAGTATTGGCAGAGGGATTCAGACCTAATGTCATATGCATGCACTCTTCCCCAGCACCCCCGTTCCCCTCACAGATTGCATTCTGAAGTAGCCTGGAAGCCCCTCCAGACTTGCAGGATGTCTCAGAAGAGGCAGTTTGGGAAATCAACCTTGTCAAGCCCCAGAATATTTAGGGATAGAAGCAAGACTATGAGGTTCCGCAACTCCAGGGGGCACCCTTCACATTGTAGTCTCTGTGAATGGTGCTGCCAGCCTGCAGTAGCGCTGTGCACAGTCCATGTGCTCATAGACAGCAGCCCTGGATGGAAGGGATCTTGGAACATTGGTCAACTACTCAACTTTATAGGTGAGGAAACTGAGGCACAGAGGTGAATTGACCTGCTGAAGCTTCCATGGTAGTGTCAAGTGGAGACCCCCAGCCCATGACACATTTCATATCACACTTTCCCCAGTGTGCTCAAAAGGCCAGCCCTTCCCTCATGTACAGCAAAGATATAGCTATAGGTAGCCACTGGCCCAGCTATGTCCATATATATATATATATATGTCCATATATCCATTGGATATTTCCAGTATGGTAGCCACTAAGCACATGTGGCACTTTAAATCTAAATAATTCAAACGAAATAAAATTAAAGTTTCATTTCCTGAGTTGCACAGCCACATTTTAAGTATTCAGTAGCTACATGTGGCTAGTGGCTACCATATTGGAATTTCCATCATCTCAGCAAGTTCTGGGTGGACATAGCTGGACTATAGATTATACATAGGTCTACAGGGAGACTGGGAGGCAAGGCAGAAAGAGTTGCTTTTTTCTTTTTAAGGGGTACAGTGTGCCAAGCATTGTGGTAAGCACTTTGCATGTCTGACCTCCTTCGGTCTTCACAAGTGCTGTGTTGTAGGTGCTCTCGTTAATCCCTTTTATAGATGAACCCAGCAAAGTTAAGTAACTTGCCATGATCACACAGCTTATAAGCAGTGAGCCAAGACTCCAACCCAAGTCTGTTTGACTTCAGAGGCCAGGTACTTAATTACTTAATCTCTACTGCTTTTAACAGATAGAAAAGGATATAAACCAAAGTGCTGCTGTAGAGCCAAGCAAACAGATGCCACTTTCAAGATGGCAAAGACAATTAAAGGGCTCAGAAACAATTATAGGAATTAATGAGGCTCGTTTGGTACTAGAAGAGAAGATGAAGGTGTGATTAATCCCATCTCTGAGAATGGGTGACAGCTATGTAGGCAGTAGCCCTCTGTGGATGCTAAAGGCCAGAAAAGAGAAAAGACATGGAGCAAAGAACTCAGGGGGCCATAAGGTGGTGCTTTTTGAGCACTGAGCAATGGAGAAGACAAGGAGAGAGATGACAACTGCCACCTAGAAATATTCAGAGAAAAAGAGACTCCTGTTACACACCCTTCATAGTCCCAATGGTGCCTTGAAGATAGGGAAAGAAGAAAAAGGATCTTGTCCCCTCTCCTAATGAAGGAAAAGGAGAGGAAGAGGCGGGAAAGACAGACAGAGATGGTGGAGGGACTAATGTGTCCCCTGGCCAGTGCTTTTCCAGGAAGTGGACAATTCTTGATACCAAATCACTTTGTTGTTCCCTATTTTCCACTTTGGTTTTTTTGAGGTCCCTCTACTTGAGCCTCAGAAACAAAGGGAAAGACTGAAATGTTTTGAACTCGAGTCCTACCGAAATTTGGTTCAAACTACTCTGACATATAAAGTTGCAGATGGCGAAGGCTAAAAATAGCTTCTATTTGCCAGACACTGGGTTGGGGTATTAGGGTTTACACAGCAAATACAATGTCATCTCTACTTTCAAGCAGCATGCACTAGTTTACTCCTGCTCCTGAGAAGTCTGCCCTCAACAGAAGGTGGCTTCTTGGGATGGGTTCGGCTTAAAGCCGGGTCTCAAGGTATCTAATTGCTGGATTTCAGGGTCTGGTCTTTGGGAGTGACTGCGACTGTGGAAGTGAGTGGGTAGATGGGTGGTTGGGAAGATGGATTACCTTTGTTCACTTCCCTTTTGTTTTATTTCTCCTTCAGAAAAAGGTGCTATTAAAACGCATCTGAATTTCCCTCTATAAGAACTGGGAGAGGTCTAGAGGTCATCTAGCCAGCGCCCTCATATGACAGATGAAGAAACTGAGAGGTTAAGTGACTTGTCCAAGATCGCTCAGCTAGTTGATTGCAGAGCCAAGGCTAGAACCCAAGGCTGACAGCACGGGGGCTTTGATGGCAGTGCTCACCATGCAGGGGTGACATCCTTTCCCTAGTAGCTGGCGCTGGGACCTCAGTCACCAAATGTAACTTAAAGCAAAAACAGGCTCCTGTTCAGTCATTATCAATCCCTGGACTTTTCCAGCAGGGCTGGAGAGTGGAGGTGGGGCTGGGGCTGAGGGTCTGGACAGACAGGGGCCTTTGATCTTCTTGATGTCCCTGAGGTTCTTGAAGAATGTGGCCCCATGTCCCCACTGACTTGCCTCCATTGTTCCCACTTCTCAGCCTGACAGTCAGGTCTCCTCCCCTGGTTATCTTTGTGGTCTGCTTGTTTCATTCCTCCCCTCAGAGCCTAGCCTCTGAGACAATTCCCAAAAGCTCTTTGAGGTTTCCTAGACCTTTTGCCCCTTGGAGATGTAATAAGGCTTTGTATATTGTTGTTGTTGTCATATGTAACCCAATGGCTGGATTTTAATTGATGATGTTTATCAACTGACATCGCTGTCTGTATCCTATGCTCTGTTTTGTGTAGGAATGTATACCAGATGGAGCCAACACTCCTGTAGCTGTTATCTGTATTCTATGTGTATTTGTGTGCTCTGTCAGTCTCTCTGTACTCCTTCTCTGTGTACAAGTATGTTACTGTGTATGCTCTCTGCAGCCTTCTGATGTCTGTCTCTGTGTGTATTTAACCTTGTACCAATGTTCACAATGTAATAAAAACAGAACCAAAAGAACACAACGCCTTCTGGCGATTTTTAAACCTAGGGGAGATGCTCACTTATCTGGGATGGATGCATGAGTTATTATGGAAAGGCAATGGATTGGATAAAATGACTCCTCAATGACCTTGGAAGTGTCCCTGAGCCTCTTGGCCCTCTGCTGAAGGGAGGCAGGTAAGAAGGGGCTCACATATGAAGGGCAAGAGGGAAGGCTGATTTCACAGGCCTTGCAGGTGAAGCATTGCAATCCAGAGTGTTCTGCATGAAATCTCAAAGTGCAGAGCAGAAATGAGGCAGCTATTAGCAGACTGAGTCTCCCGGTATCAGTGGAAGCTCCGTGGCCTCCAGTCTTTGGTAGAATTTTTAAAGCACTCTGCAGAATTTCACCTTGAGAATTTTCATCACCTTGAGAAAATTTCATCATAAGGAGAAGGCTGTCCATCCCTCCTAGCCTGCCCTCTCTGTCCTGATCATAGAAGCATGAGGAACTTAACCCATTTGGGAGAGATTTGTCCCCAGGTATTGACATGGTCCTGTTGTTAAGAAGTGAAGCCAGCATCCCTGGCTTTGGCCAGAGATTTGAAGGCATGGAGAAGGAAACTGTCTCTCAAATCACATGGATGAGCCCATGTAGAAAAGGAGGATGGTGTTGCAAAAAGAGAGAGAGGAGAATCCATGGTTACACCCCAATCCGGGGAACTTCTAGCTTCTAGTGACCTGGAGCCTCAGCATGAAAGTCAGCAGGGATGCCACAAATATACCCTGATGCAATTAGGGGAGGGACACACCCTCCCTCACACCTCTCATGGAAAGGAGACAAATTCTAGGGACCTGGAGATACTTGGATTGAAAAGGAGCTGCTGGTCTCAGAATGTGATACCATTGGTCCTCGGCAGGGTCCAGAAGACCCCAAAGAAAAGGTAAACCCAGGTCTTGTGTCCCAAAAAATACATAGGCTTTTATGAAGATGTTCAATCAATATGTGTCTAACATTGCCTTCAAACTCTCCTTGTCCTCACTAGCCAGTGCCCATCTGGGATTCCTGAGACTGGACTTCCAAATCTCTGACTTTTCTGGGACTGAGATGCTTTAGCAAACCTCCATGTTCAGGGGCTGTAAATATCTGACCAGAACCTTGTCTTTTTGTGTTGTTGGGAGAAAAGTTCCAGCACTTTCAGAAAGTCCAGGCAACTCCGCCTCTCTCTTTTCTCCTCCACAAAGGAGTTTACAATTGTTATATCTCCTCTAAAAAGAAAGTAGAAGTGTGGCTTATGTCCCAGGATCTCACACACGACAGTCCTTTGGAGAAGTTCTTGCCAAGAGGATCCCTCTTGAACATTGCCAGGTTCATGTATGGGCTCCAAAAATGGAAATCTCCCTGACTGCTGGCCTTGTAAAGATAGATATGGAGTAGAATGTAACTCCATAGACTCCAGACACATGCTTTAGTGTAGGAACACTCAAGAGTGCCTCTTAGTTCTCTCCTAAGACCTTCCTACACTAGCTTTCTCGGAGCTGGCCACCTTAGACATAGTCTAGAGTACAATGGCAACACTGCCCTGGGAACCAGTCTTCTGCTTCATGCAGACTCAGGTCAATGACTCTCAAGCTCATGGGGCTTCCCAGAGCCTTGGAGTGGATGGAAATTCAATGGAATAAACAAAGACAGGACTGTGAATCAGATAAGATAACTGGATTCTTTTATGGCATTGTCATCTCTGTAAAATTAAGTCCTACATATGTCCTAGAAATGTTTTCAAGTAAAAAATGCTATTCATTTAAACAATATTGAATACTTTCTTTGTGAATCAGTGTGCTTGGTGACCAGTATGCTTGGGAGGCAGGAGACCAAAAAACAATAGGATAAAGACTTTGCCTTCCAAAGATGATGCAAAATCAAATGGAGAAGACACAGATACATATTATAATAGCACAAGAGAGTCCATGATAAGTGTTGGAATAGCAGTGCAATCTAAGGATAATGGAGAATTCCAAGAAGGAGAAAAGTTTTCCATGTACAAGGATCTGGGAAAGCTTCCTGGAAGAGGTTTGGTTGGAGATGGACTCAGGGAAGAATAGTGGCCCTCTCAACTGCTTCATGACCAAGGGCCAGTTGCTTAAAAGATATTATAGGCAAAGAAGACAGTGTTATGAGACGTGAAAGGGTAGGGAGTATTCGTGGGGATTGGGGGATGGTAGAACTGGGAAGAACTTGATTCTTAATCTGCAGTTGTGGTATGACACTTGGTCATTCTTAACGTAGATTTCCACTGAAACAGGAGATAGGGAACAAAGCATATCCAGGAGATTGTGCCCTTGAATGAGACATTGATATTCATGAAACTGAAGAAAACCCATTCTCTGAGTGACACTTGAGGAAGTGATAAGAGCATCCTGTTCCCTTATCCGAAAACATCTACACCTCTTTTCCTTTTACTTCTGGCCTCCCTGCACCTCTTCTCCCTTTGTTTCTTTCCATCTCTCTTCCCTCCTTCTTACTCTCTCTTTCCTCCCCTTCCTTGATTCCTGTCTGTCATCACTTTGGGGAGATGATATAGAATAGCAGAAAGAGTCTTAATTTAGTAGAGAGATCTAGGTACCACACATAAGGAGTTTAGCATTAGGCAAATCCTTTGGTCATGGTCTCTTTTCCCCTTTGGAAAATAGAGACATTGTCCTTATTTGCCCCAGTCCCCCAAAACCCATCAGTTATAATCAATCACATGAGAATGTAGATAGGATTGAGCTCTTCAAAGTTAATTTATGTATTGACTCATGCTATTATGATGAGGTCTGGTAGTTGCACCCAACTGGTCCCTTGGGATCATTCTCAGCCCCAGTGGAGCACTAAGTGGGAGTGGGATGCTCATCTGGGAGCTTCTGGACTTGCTACTATCTGAAAAAATAGTGACCCGATGCCATTCAGAGTGTGACACCATGATGTGCTGTGAGCTTTTATAAAAGAGCTTAAAATTAGAATCAGTAGTGCAGACAGACCCTTCTTCCTATGCACTTCAAGTTTTATAAAACAAAGTTCAGAACCTAGGACAGCACCCGGGCAGTCTGTTGGGGAGGGAGTAGGAGGCAGCATCACACTGACTCAAGGATGGGCACCAGGGGAAAAGGGAGGCAGTGTCAAGACTGCCTGCCCCTGAAGAGAGGATCTTAGAGCCTAGGCATGTTGAAGCCACGTAGCCTAATGGTGCAGAGTGAGGGTTCAAGTCTTGGCTCTGCCATTCATCACTTCTGCATCTTCGGTGAGTTACTTAGCCTTTCTCAGCCTCAGTTTCTTAATCTGTAAAATGAGGAAAATAATTATACCTGTCCCACCAGTATCTCATGAATATTTGATAAACTAATGTGTATAAAGCACCCTGCAGTATAAATTGCTCAATAAATACAACTTTTTCTATTATTATTATTATTATTTTATTCTTGAAGTAAAGTGAATTGGACAGGCACCCTGGGGAACAGAATATCTGCCTTTTCCTTGCAAATAACACATAAGACCTCCCACTCATGGCAAGCCTAGGCTTTCTCGGCCGTGGTGATGTATGGAGCAGAGCAGTGCACCACCACCTCTGCCTTCTGCACAGGGGTCTCTTCTCCAGGCATCTCTCTCCATCCTTCTTGAACCACCAGGTCTATTTCAGTCTGCACTGCCTCTTGAATTAAGAGATACCCTATGTTTCCCACCTGCTGGGAAAAGTAACCCATTCCCTTACTTTTCTACTTGTTTTTAAACAGATGTGGCCTCCCCTTCCCTCTTTCCCTAGATCCCTGAGACATGATACTCTCTCTTGCAGTACAGAAGAGGCTTGACCACCTCTCCAAGTTTATTACTTGAAAAGAGCATTTAGAGCAAATGAGCCCAGTGAAAATCTGCCTGCTGCCCCTCCAACACCCCCCAGCTTCAACATTATGATCTTGCCTCTAACATTGTCTCTTGCCTCTAACTTAAAAGTATATCTCTTCTTTAAAACAACGATTCCTTAATTTCTGATCTTCAGTACCCCCTCCAAACTCATAAAGTTTTCATTCTTTTTGTATTTCCTCTTGAAATATCTGCTCAAATTCCACTTAGTTGTGACTTGCAAGCACTGATACACATGTCACCCTCCCACACAAGGGAGACATGAGGCCAAAGGGAATGAGTCAGCCCAAGGATCCCAGTGCCAACCACTAGTCAGTTGCCTATGCTTCCATCATCCAGGCAACTAACTTTGGACGCACTGGGGACCTTCTCTAAGCCTTCTGCCAAAGCAGCTTCATTCTTCTGTATCCCAAGGCACTGGGGGCAGCAAGGTACAGTGAGAAAACATTGGACTGGAAGCCAAGGTCTGATTCTAATTCTTGCTCTGAGGTATACTAGTTGTGTGACTTTGGGCAAGTGCCTGAAGCTCTCTGAGGCTCATTTCTCACATATTTTAAGAAAGACAGGATTTAGACCTGAAGATCTCTCAGGCCTAGGAACTTGTGGACAAGTCCTCAAGTCCAACAGTGGTTGAGCCAGTCCATATGGGCATCCCTATGTCTACTCTGCCACTGCTCCTTGGTCATGTCCCCATAGGTGGTATCCATAGGTAGGTGCTACATACAAGATGGCAGACACAGCATTCAGAGGGCCAGTTTCTTCGCTGCTTCTCTCCTTGGCTTGCACTCTTGTGGCTTCCTTTTTATTCATCCAGCAAATATTTATTGCATTACCTACTATGTACCAGTCACTCTTTAAGGTACTGGTGATACAAGCATTGACAAAGACAAATACAGTCCCTTCACTCAAAGGACTTATCCTCTAGTAGGGGAGAGAGCCAATGACCAAGCACATGAATAAGACAGATGCAAGTTGTGATAAGGGTCATAAGGCAATAGGATTCAAAAGAGTGATATGGCACACACTTTAGATAGGGAGTCAGAGAAACCCTCCTGAGGAAGAAAAATGTGCACTTAGATCTAAATGACAGGGAAGAATCAGCCTTGAGAACAGCAGGCAGAGGAACACCATGGATAAATGCTTTGAGGTAGGACGGAGCTTGCCATGTTTGAATAACAAAGATGGAGCTTATTTGGCTTGTTTGGTATGAGGAAGAAAGGAGGTGGTTCAGAGAGGAAGACAGAGGCTAAAAGAGATTGGATGTTGCAAGCCATGGTAGAGAGTGTGGATGTTATTCTGAGCACAAGGAGAAGCCATATGAGGATTCTGACCCTCCCAAAATGGGCATGTTTTATACTTAGAGCCAACACTTTGAAAATTGGATGTGAGGTGTGAAGGAAAGAGAAGAGTCAAGAATAACTCCAGGTTTTTGGCCTGAGGAACTGGATGAAGAATGGAAGCTCTTGAGCTCATCCAGCCTCGTTCCTCCCTAACTTTGAGCATCTTCAACACACACCACATACTGACTCCATCCCTCCTATTCTTCCTACTGCTCTCTCCCCTCCATACACACCCCCAAGTGGGAGGGAATGAGGAAGAGAGAGAGAGCTTTTCCCACATGCCTTCAGAGGATGTCTCTCCTATAGTCTGTCTGGCTCCTTGTCTCTCAGGAGGGGAATTTCCTTTCCAGGTGATCATATTAAGTTTCAATGAAGCACTCATTTGTCTGAGGATTACATTAAAAGAGTCTAAATCAATCATTCTCATTTATAGGAATAAAGAGCATTGAGGACAAGATTTTGTACCCAAAAGGGATAATAATGCCATCTTAAAACCCTCCCAGGAAGGTTTGACTGAATAAAGCATGGATTGACTCTCAAAGGATGGGCAGGCAAAAGAAATTCAGACTCCATGCCTACACAACCATAGCCTCTCAGATAATCCAGGTGTAAGTAGGGTTGAAGGCCCGATTATCTGGCTGGAGGATTATACAGACTGAGCATGGGCAGAAGTGGCTTACCCACTGCTAGGAGAGCCCCTCCTCAGGCTTTACCCCCAAGCCCATTAGCAATCCTGAGGTGAGGCACCCAGTCTGGGTGAATTCACTCCAAAAGCACACACCCATAGTCCACTACAGCATCACACATAGTCATACCTGCACAGGGCTTTACCGTCCACAAAGCACTTTCAACCACCCTCATCTCAGTAGAGGCTCACCACAGTTATGTGAGGCCATCAGCAAATGGAGCTTCAGAGAGCTTGCAGATGCCCAAGGCTATCTCACTTCTTGGGGTGTAAACCAGGACAGTGCCTTTCCACAACTGCAGAGAACTGTCTCCTGGATAGGCAGAGATGTCCTCACTCCCACCTTTGGCAACTGCTGCCTGGCCCGGAAACTCCCTCCCCTTTAGACCATCCAAACTGCCTCCACAGAGACCAGAGCAAGCAACTTAACTCCTACAACAATGAGAAGCACAAGGCTGGACTTTCACCAGAGGGAGCGGGGTAAGTTGGGCGGGTGTCCCACTCTGGGGTTGGGAAGAGAAAGCTAGAGTGGCAGCAGGCAGAAGCCAGGATGAGGAGAGAGGACGCACAGCTTCCTGATGGTCCAAGGGATGCTTTGTGCACATCGCCATGGGTGGCAGAACATGTGGGGTCTTATTGATCACTTACATCTTGGAGAAGAGAAGCTTTGAAAGCAGGAGTCCATGAAGGAAGGGGCAGACTGGATGTGGGAGATGGGAGAGGAGAGAAGGGGATCATGCAAGGAGCAAAAGGCACATAAAAGAGAAACTGGGAGGGAAGCATACACTTCCTGCCTGCAGCTTTGCACAGGGTTGAGCCATCAAGGGACACGAGTGACCTGGCACCTTCCTAACCTGGGGAGCCCTGTCCCTCAGCCACTTCACTCACGGCCTCCTTTCCCAAAGCTCACTCCTTTGATTCTTTCTTGATATCACAGATTAGACGGCAGTTCCTCCAGGAAGCCTACTCTGACGCCTACCCCCACCAAAGGGCCCATGATCCCCCACTGGGACACCATATGCTCGCCTGTCCACCCACTAAATGGAGTGCCTGAGTGGTTGTTGAGTCCTGGTTGGGGGAAGAAGCCTCTATTAGCCTCTATTCTTGCTTCAACTGAAGGCCTTCCTGGGTTGGGCAAGAATTTTTCCAAGTTTCAAAATGCAGAAACAGCCACCCAGTCGACCTTGCCTAGTGATGGGGTTGGCCCACAATGGGGAAAGCATTCCCATAGCCTGTAACTGTCTAGGTAGTTTTTAAGCCACAAATCTGGGGATCAATCCAGGAGGTGAGTAAAATCCTTGCTCGGCCTGGTTTCTATGCAGAGGTTCCAAATGTGCCCTATTGTGGGGCTCTTATTTCCTATAGGATAGAGTAGAAACAACACAGACATTTAAGAGACGTGGGTTTCAATCCACGTTTCATCACTTATCAGCTGTCTTGGGTTGGGGTAAATAACTTACATCAGGCCCTGAATCAAATGCAGACAGTACTGTCTACCAACCAGTATATTAGAATTAACCAAGCTCAGGCCCCAGCTCGTGCAAATGGCTCACCACATGGTAGGCATTATCATTCTTGTTATTCCTGGAGAGTCAATGTAGGTGGTAGCTAAGGATCGAATTCTAGAACATTCCGCCTGGGTTGATGCCTCAGTTCTGTCATCTTCTAGACATGGTGCCTCAGACAAATTCATTTCCTGCTCTGTGCCTGAGCGTTCTTATCTGTTAAATGGAGGTAGGAAGAGCACCCATGTCATAGGTGAAATGAGATGATATATGAGCAGTGCTCAGAAGCCTGTCTGGTGCGCAGCAAGTGCTCAGTAAATGTTCACTTAGTACGGTCGTGCTTATTAGTATCAACCCTTAATGTTGTCTAACCTTTCAAAGCTATAGAAAATTAGGTTATAATAAAACGAAATTATCGTATTATGAAACTCTCATCTTGCGCACGATCCCCTCATTGATCGCAAATCAGTAAGCCCGAGTGCCTTCTGTGTGCAGAGCGCTGTGCAGCTGGTGTGGTGGATAGACGAGATTCCTGCTTCAGAGAAGACCCTAATCAGAGGATGGGTCAGTCAGACACAACTGACACATGGCTGGCAACAGCCTGTCCAGTTCTGAATGCACAAATAAGCCAGAGGCATGGAGGATGAAGACTTTGGGGTGTGGTACAAAGGGCACTGGGCCAGGAATCAAGAGATATGGATTCTAGTCCCACTTTTCCCGCTCACTGAGCAAATTACTTCACCAGTCTGACCCTCAGTTTCTTCATCTGTAAATGAGTTTGATCCCCAAGGTTACTTCCATCCAATTTGAACACTCAGTGATTTCAAAGTACAATTTAATGTTGCAACCTCTGTTTTTAAGGAAAGTTCTATTCAAAATTACCTTCTTGAATGAGGGATTGACACTCTATTTAACAAAGAATAACTACATTATCTACTGGCACTAATACATAATATATCCTGTCTCATCTTTGCGCCTGGAGGAATGTGCCCCTCAGATGAATCTGTTTGCCTTCCCTTTCAAGCAAAAAACAGTCTCACCTGCTCTGTTCTTTTTTGCCCTACCTAGCAGGATACTCATTCATAAGTGCAGCACCCCTTACAGTAATCACCTCACACACCCAGTAACAGCTCATTCTTCCACTTTCTATCGTGAGTTCTGTTCTCAGTTAACCTTACATGTACAGGATAACTTTGTAACTCTGTGTTTACACCTCCTAAGTCAAATCCAGTCCATTTGGAAATTGGCAACATTTAATTCACTTTATTTTTTAAGTATAAGTACCTATTTATTATTGCAACACTCTAACTAGATTATAGACAAATTAGGAAATATGAATTAGTCAAGAAAGCAAATAAAAATGCCAATAATCCTACTGCTCAAAGATAACCTTTTATTACATATCCTTCTGGATTGTTTACAAGCAAATAGTTCATATAATTAAAAGAGAGAGTCATATTCTGTTTTACTGTTTCCAACCTGCTTTCTTCACTTAACAGGTATAAATTTGGTCATTCTCTACATTTGAGTTGTAAAGACTGAGCAGTATTCCATGGCTGGGGATTTTATTCAACTAATTCTGCTACTGTTGGACACTGAGGTGGTTTCCAATTTTTTGCAATTATCAACAATTTTGCAGTGAACTCGCTCAATTATTTTCTTAGAGTCCGTTCCTATTAATGAAATGGCTGGGCAAAATGGTCTATATATTTCTTTAAGATTTTTGATGCATATTACTGGATTTAGTTCCAGAAATTTTGGAGTAATTATAAGAATACCTATTTACTTTCCCTTTCCCAAGGAGCATGTATTATTTTCTTCATTTATATTATATGTTTTTCTCTTAACTTTGTTAATCTAAGAGGGGGAAAGTGATATTTCATTACTGTTTTAATAGGCATTTCTCTGATCACTGAGGCTGGATATTTTTTCACATGTTCCTTGACCAATTATAGTTTATTCATTTAACAAACAATTAATCAGCTACTATGTACCAAGGACTCTTCTTGTATTTCTTCTCCCATTAATGTAAAAAGATATAACTTTTAAATGAGCAAATTGCTTCTTGAATCTCTTCGTTTTCAACCTATACCACATCTCTGGGTAACAGATCCTGTAAGCTGACTTACGTAAATTCTCTCCCATCCTCCGTGGCGTGATCTACCAAGACCTCATTACTGACCTCCCTTAGCCTGCTCTTCTTCTGCCTCTCCACTAAACAAGTGGAGAAATATGTAGGGGAGGTCCATGCAAGGATGCCAGCTAGCTGACCCCAAGTGCCCTCCTGGTGTGGCATCTACTCCAGAGAATTTACTCCATGCTAGAGCTGAGAGTCCATCTTCCCCCTCCAGAAGCTCCATCTCATTAGTGCCCAGGAGCTGATCCCGAACAGGCTGACTCATAGTGACTAAACTCACAGGAGACCTGACTATATAAACCAGAGGCCAACTTCTTTATTTGTGATGAGAAATAGAACTGTCAGGCAGACCAGACAATTGCTGGACTCTCCAGTACAATTTATCCCTCAGGCAAGCCACAGAAGCAGCTGACCATCTCAGAGGGGTGCTGGAGGAGCGGGAGGGCAGAATGAGGGGAGTAGGTTGCAGGATTTGAAAGTTTGCCAGCATCAGGCCCTGCTGCCCCTGTTTCCCGCCCTCTCCCCTGGACGGCGCCTGGGTGGGCACAGCCAGTTTGGGTTCTGTGCTTTGTGGCTGACCGGCACCCCGACCTCCTTGTGGTCAGCCCTGTCCTGCCTTAGCTGTGACCACAGCTTCAGGCACGGCACTGTCTGGTCTTGCTGTTCCATCAGTCATTTGTCTTTTTAAAGAGATTTGACTCACGCTTAACGGCCTGATTTAAAGTTTCATATTCTGTTTTATTTCCCCTGTGTTGAATACTTGCATGTTAAGAACTTCCTATGTGTCAGGCATCGGGCATAAGACTTGGGCTTCTGGTGGTGTCTGAGATAACACAGTTCCGAGGCATGAAGGTACTAGGCTTACCGTTTTTTAAGGAAAGTGAGTAACCAGCTCTAATGATGTCCTCCTTTTGGGAATTGCTTTAAGACACTTTGAAATGATGAGGTGGGTGACTGCTTTCAGCCTCTACTGCCAGGCACAGTTCCATGCAACCTGAGAGTCCCTCACCAGGACAGCATCCCCTCTTATGCACAACTTTGTACTCAAAGGCCTTGCCTCATTCAGGAGAAACCCAGAAATGCAAGGGAGTTAACACACCTGGGGTAACTCTCAGCTAGTGTGGGATGGGAGCCAGTGCATTAGTGCTCCAGCTGCCCTTCCCTCAGGTGGGAATAAAAATAACATCTCCCTGAAGTCCCCTGCACGTAGCACATGTCCTGTTGCACATAGCAGCAGCCTCAGTTGCACACCCTTAAATATAAGGCTTGTTTTCTTTCCTGAATTCCGAGATCATTCCCCAAGTGAACAGCATGCACCCACATCCTTGGCTCTCCCTGTTGCTTTGAGGGGGTGTTGTGGGAGCCAGGAGGTCATCTTGTGAGGAGCACAGGGCGCTGCAAAGTGGCACAGAGAGCTCTGCACAGCCCCTTCCGAGACCAGAGCCGGTGATGCTGTCCCTGCCAGGGAACCAGGAGGACCCAGAACTCCCCTAAATCTTTCTCTGAGTCATGGGGAAGGAGGAAGTGACATCACCAGGAGACCCTAGAAGATGCTCCAAGTAACCACTAAGACTTCGTATATTTCTTGGATCCTCAGAATAGGGAAATCTCCCATCTTATGTCAGGTTCCTTAGAAACAGTCTGAAATGGGATTCTTGGGGAAGTGTTTTATTGAGGGAGTTGTCTCAGGAGAAAGGGTGTGAAAAAGGAGGGCAGGGCAGGGGAAGAAAGCTGGCAAGGATGTGGGCTCAGCTGGAGACTGGCCCCACGGAGACCGTGGAGCGCCCTGGAGCACAAAGTGCAGTGTTGCTCATCCCTCGAGGCATACGGACTGTCCTTGTGTACCCCTTCGCCATCAGACATTGGCTGAAGGCTGCCCTCACCCCAACACTTCCCTAGTACAGTGGCTCGGATTCTGACCAAGGCGATCTTCCCAAGAACTGGGGTAGGTGCACCAGCTCAACAAAGGGGCCCCGGCAGCATCCACTTCATTTCCCTAAGAGAGAGCTCGTGAGAAGTGAGGAAGACCATTGTTTCCTTCAAATTCTTCAGGATGCAGACTTCTGCTCTGGCTGTGTGCTCTGACACCTCCCCTACCCAGAGCTCTCTGCCTAATCTTGAGGAGCCTCCCTCTCTTTCTCATCTTCATGCAAAACAAAGTTCCAACAGAGAGACCTCAGCGGAGCGCCAGGGAGTCTCTCCAAATACAGATTTTTAAATGTTATGACATCATCCCAGTCATTAGCATGAAAATGCTCAAAGTCTCCATCATTCCCTCCAGGGTTGCATGCAGATAATTAGGAATCTTTTTATAAGCTGAACACCGGAGTGCTTCCTCAAGCATCACATTGCCTCAGAAGTGAAATCTCTACTTCTCCTGTAGGAATGTCTGACAGAAAGCTCAGGAACTATCTTCCCAGGCAATATCTTCCAGACATTGGTGGCAGATGTCAAATCGACTCCTTGTAATAATACCTCAGGGTCTAATTCCACTCTCTCTTCAGACCTTCAGTTTAAGACACTAGGTTCCAATTCCAGTGCTGCTACTCACCAGCCAAGTGATGCTTGACAACACACTTAACCTCCTCCAGCTCATTCACAGAGGCGGAATAAGGACGGGGATCCCAACGAACCTAACAGCACCTTATCACAACCAGCGGGCACTAAGTCAGCGATGTGCTGGTAAACTGGCTGGAGCGGGAACTAGCTGGGGGAGTACCCCCAATTTACAGTGTTTGCTGATTTCTGGGGTGTAAATATTCCCGCCATGGCTGATTTCAAACTACCCATGGTTTTACGACCAACTTGCAAAATTCCTGAATGTCTGAAAATCTGCTCAGGGGAGCTAGTGGGAGGTGGCTTTAGCACCCCACCGCTAAATCCATCAAAATGGCGGTTACTGGTACCTGCCCACGCTTGTTAGATAAATGGCTTAGGAAAGGAGCCAGTGGGACTGTTCTCAGCTGAGGATAGTCTCCATAGGGATGTCTAAAAAAGTCTTTGTCTGATGCTCATTCCAAACTTTCAGACATGTTGATAAAAAAATCTCCAATGTTCCTCTATTGCTACGCCAAGATCCACCCAAACTCAATACATTTTGGTACAGGTTCTGTGCTCAAAGATGGTGCTGAGATTTCCAGTCTTTGAAGTTGGGGAATCTGCTACCACTGGCAAGAGTCTGGAAGCCAGAAAGAGAAACTGGCTTGGGGCATTAGGGAGGTAATTCTGCATTTAATGAGCTTAATGGTGTAAGTGTCCAGGAGACCATCCAAAATGTAGCCTGCGCTCTAGTGATATAACCCAGATGCAACTGCCCCTCTCTTTAGTCTGCTTTCCACCCACACAGTCTTGCCATAGACCTCAGCACCTGGTCACCTTCCCCCAAAATAATCCACTAACACTAACGACATCAGTGGTGGGCAATGTAAGAGTAGCAGATGATTTCGTGGGGAACATGCAGGGTAGGGTTTCAATGTCGGCCTCAGTCATATCTGTTTGCCAAAGTTCCCCTGGGTCACACCACCCCTCCTGTGCACCCCTCTCCTCTAGCAGGTGAAGAATTTCAGCTCTGCCCTCAGGCTTGCATTCCAGGCTCACCTCACTACTTGCTCACCCCACCCCAGCATCAGCAGGGCCCACCACCATTGATCACCACTCTCATGCCCTCTGTGGGGTCTCCTCCTTGCCAGAGGGTTTATCGAAGGATTTCTTCCAACCCTGTGAAGTGTCCCCCGACAATTGCATTCTTGTCAATTCCATTGTCTGTTTCACGTGGTAGGAAGGGCAGGGCTGGGGGTACATATTTTAGATTGTGCACACAGAGGTGGTGTGGTCCCATGGTCAAGAGCACAGACTCCGGGTCTAGATTTCCTGGTCTCAGCTCCCACCGTTCTTACACATTAACTATGTGAATATTGGCAACTGCCTGATCTTGTTTTTGTGCCTCATTTGCTTCTTTGTAAAATGGAGATGTTGATATTGTGAGGACTGAAAAAATTAATGGACAGGAGATGCTTAGAACAGCGCTTGGCACATGGTGACATTAGCTGTTCCTATTATCGACAGAAGTCAGTGATGAGAAATAGATGGGCGCTTACGTGATTAAGTTTAAAAAGAAAAAGGCTGATGACAAAAATCTGCTGGACTTCAACATGTTGAGCCAGGAAACACACACACACACACATCCACACTCTGAAACCTGTACAAGCTCATTTCACTTGAAATTTATGATTATAAATCTCAGATTGGGGTTCCGCATTCCCAGTAATCCTATTATTTTTCTCTAACAAGCCTGCTTTCCCACTCTGAGACAATCATTCACAACCCATGTGGCACATTAGAATCGTCTAAGGAGTTTATAACTAACTTTATAGTTAGTTATAGCTACTGTCAACTAAACTGTAGTTTAAAACTATACAGTTTTTAACTAAACTACAGTTAAATTGTAGAGGCCCAGGACCCACCCAAGACCACTTAAATCCCAGGCGCAATGTGGAGGAGGGAGCAGCTATGAGAATATTTGGAAAGTTCTGCAAGTGATTCTACTAGAAACATTCCTTTAAGATGATCGTTTCATCCCTTCTGTCTCCTCCAAACCTCCTCCCCTCCCTTCTTTCAACTCTCAGCTCATGAACTTGCTCCACACTTCATGGAGAAAACTCGAGCCATTTGAAGGAAACTTCCTTATCCTCCCACCACCAAAGCCCCTACAGGATTTGCATCTGAAGCCAAGTCTTCTCCCATCTCTTCAGCAGAGGCAGCGTGCGCCCCTGTCAGGCCAGCTTCCCCACGTGCAGCTATAGAGCCTGGCCTCCCCCCTCATGCCTCCTGGTGTCCTTCTTTCTGCTCAGCATTTGCCTCTCCTTCTGCAGGTGGCATACAAAAATGCTCTAGCTTCTCTCAGCTTGGGGCAGAACACAACACAAAAACAAAAACCAACCCGCCCCTTGCCTCCACATCCCTTCCAGCTCTCACCTGGTTACTCAACTCAAAAGAGCTGTCTGTGCACACCCATGGTCACAGCAGCAGGGTTCAGAGCAGCCAAGGGGTGGAAGCAAACCAAGTGTCTATTGACGGAAGAATGGATGAACAAAATGCGGTGTATCCATGCAATGTATAGGAATGAAATTTGACAAGTGCTGCAGCATGGATGAGCCTTGAGGACGCTATGCTGAATGAAATAAGCCAGTCACGAAAGGCCAAATACTGTAGGATCCCACTCTACATTATGGAGACAGAAAGTAGAAAGGTGGTTGCCACTGAACTGTACACTTAAAAATTGTTAGGATGGTAAATTTTATGTCATGTGTATTTACCACAGTTAAAAATAATATACTAATAGCTGTACATACCTGCTGTCCCCACACTAGCCTCCCGTTTGTTCTTCAACCCACAACCGCGCTGGGTTCTGCTTCCCCCGCTCCATCAACCCTGCTCTGGCCAAGGTCACCTTGACATGCATGTTTACAAATCCAGTAAACACCTTCCCTTCCTCCCCTCACTTAGCCTCGCTGAAGGCTCAGCTGTCTTCCTGTGATGCTCCACTCTCCTGGTTTCCATGACACCACACTCTCCTGTTTCTCCCTCCTGACTGCCCCCTCATTCTCAGGCCCCTGGGTTCAGGCTGTGGGTTTAAGGCTTCCTGAGGTCTCTCGTGGACCCTCTCTCTCCTCTCTGTGTTTACACTGTTCTTTTTCTAGTGGAACTTGTCTCCTCTCATCGTTTTAAATACAATCTACATGCCAATGACTCTCTGAATTACATCTCTAGTCCCAATCTCTCTCTGAACTCCAGCCTTGCACACTTCAGTGCCTGCTTGACATCACCATCTCAGTGTTTCACGGGCATCTCACCCTTAATGTGTGAAACAAGGAATTCTTGACTTTCCCTCCCCCTCAAACTGTGCATCCAACATTCTCCTCCATCTCAGCAAAGGTTGAGTCGTTCAACTCTGAGTAGCATCCCTAATTTCTCTCATTTCCTCATCCTCCATATATATAATGCATTAGGAAATCCTGACAGTTCTTCCTTCAAAATTATGTCTGGGATCTGTCTGCTTCTCAACATGCCCACTACTTCTTTAGTACCAATCACCATCTTTTCCCAGCTAGACTATTGCAGCTGCCTTCTTACCGGCCCAGAGTCCTGACTGATTCTGCTCCTTCAAGCTTATCTCAGCCTCTCTGCTCTAGGCACACTGGTCATTTCAGTTTCTTAACTATGCATGTGCTCAACTTAGCCTAACTCTTTCCTACCCCAGGGCCTTTGCACTCACACACATGCACACACACATTCTTCCTTCTCATGCTCTCCTCCTCCTCACCCATGTCCATTTGCATGGCTGGCCCCTCTTATCCTTAAGATTTCTGCATAAATGTCACTTCCTCAGAGAAGCCCGCCTTCCTTGGTCACTCTAAATAGGCACCACCTTCTGTTGTCTTCCATCCCTTATGTCTAGTTGTTATCTTCTGAGACCTGATCGCCATTAGCAATTATTTATGTTTGTTAACTCATTATTACCTGATTCTGCCAGTAAATCCTGAACTCCGTGAGTGCAGGCTCTGTGTCTGTTCCATTCCCCACGATAGTCCCAGAGACCCTCTGATAGTGTCTGCCTGAGAACTGCACATCCACCTGATAAATAACTTGTTTGACAGATTGGGGTACAGGGTCACCATGAGACATGATGCTTTGGATTTAAAGCTTGGATTCAGATTAAGGTAGACTTTTCTGGTCATGCTCCAGAAATTTATAGTCCTGAACTTTCCCCATTTTAATTTACTAACAAAAATTAAATTCTTTATTAAGACAGTTGATCTCGATCAATGTTACCCAGTGGAGTACATTACTCTACAAAGCAAGTTTTTGAGGATAATAATTAAATATATATTTTTACTTACAGCAAGATTTTTATAAAAATGAGTATTTATTTGGTATCTTTTTCACAAATCCCTAATATCAACTTATCCTCATTCTTAGCTTAGGCAAAACCCTCCTGGGATTTGAGGCTTAAGTCAGCCTAACTCCAAGAATATTTGCAGCTTATTTGAGAGTTGCTGGTTACGAACTTTGAGCCGATCTTTCTTGTCATGGCTGCTTTTCAGAAAGTAGTTATGAAGAAACTAGCGAGACTTGAGCTCTTCCCTCCTAGCTTATCTTTTTTCTCTTTGAAGAGACAGAGGAGGAGTGATGAAGAAGGAAAGTCTACTTAGAGATGTAGTTTTTACAGTGAGTGTTTAAAAAACACCAAACTCACAACCAGGGTCTGTCTCCTTAGCTGCTGGCATAGTTCATATCATTCAGACGGCGCTTTTGTTCTCCATTCCAATGAAGTATTTTCAACCGGAACCTCTCTACGCTGGCATGCATGCAATAATACTTTACATCTAGGCTTCCAGATGCTTCTTTGCCTTAGCAAGTTCCCAGATGTGCCTTGAAATTACAGATTGCCTCAGATTCCCTGTTTTCAGAGCCATCTTCTAAAACAATTTGTATCCTTCGCTTGAACAGAATTTTTTAAAGAATCTTCTTACCAATGTTTAAACACAGTCTCTCAGCAGATGTTTACAGTGGTCTCATTCTGGATACTGACTCTGAGCGCTCTCAGAGCAGCTAAAAAACCCCGATGGTAAGTTTTCTAGGAGCCAGCAACAGAGCCTGTGAGTTAACAGGCATGGACATGTGTGTGGCACGTCCTAGAGCTGAGCAGAGAAGTTGGAGAGCTTAAAAAATAGAGAGGGGAGAAGAGCATCCTGCTCACTCTGGCCGGATTTGCCTCCGCCGCACAAGGGCTGCCACCTCACTGTTCTTGTTTCTGGCAATTTAGTCCTCCCGTTGCCTGTGGGAGGATAGAGTCTGCAGAGGAAATCTAACAAAACACCTAAAAGTGTAGCTGAATCAAAATGCTGAAAGATCACTGCAGAAGCGGGCAGCTGTCTCTCTTGTGAGCTCCGGAGATAGATACGCCTGAGAGAGGAGAAACGAGCGTTGGCTGGAAGCCGGAGCGAGAAGTCGAAGTTGTAGCTTGGGGTTGGGCCACCAATGAAGTGTCAGGCTGACTCTAACTAATTACACTAATTATGATGGTCAAACGTCGTGTGTGTCAGCTTTGAAAACGGATCCTTTGATATTTATTTAAAATGTGCTTATGTTTATCTGCTGTATTCTCCATACAGTTATTTACTGGGTGGAGAGCTGTACAGAACTACAATCTTGAACTCTTTGAAAAGAATATGCATACCTTTTAGCTTGAACCTATGATGAGGTCACATTTACGCCATCTGGTCACAGGGCCCCAAAACTCCTGAGAAAGACACTGGACCCTACCTTTTCACTTATGAAATGGCAACACCTAAAATCATGAGATGGCAACTTGTGGCAAAAAATAAGTATTCTAGAAAGACAAGTTTTTTTTTTTCCTTCTGTAGATTAATATGGTCCAGAATTATAAAAGAAAGTGTCCTGGAGGAGGCAGGCTGAACTCATGGATCGTAGTTGAGTTCAGTTCTTATATTTTAAGAAACAAGATAATTCTCTGGGTAGTGGGCTTATAGGTAGTTTTAATTTTATTCTATTTTATTTGTTTTTCTATAATTTCTGAATGTTTTTACTGCTATAATCTGATTGTTTTTTAATCTTCTTTTTAAAAGGAAAAAGGTTAGAGATGGGTTGGCTGTATCGTTTTTAGATCATCATCTTGAAAAGTAACACACTGCAAAGTCCTGGAACAAGGGGTGGAGGGTTCTCTTACGTCTAACACGTGGAAGGCCAGCGGGATTTGGTTGTTGCTGTTGTGTTTGACTTTCGTTGTTGTTCCTATAGCTTTCACTTTGTCTCAAAGGAATTAAAGCGCCTTACAAAGGCAAAAGAGGACTTAAAAGGGGAGAAAGCAAAACAAAGGTGGAGGACAAAGTAAAGGCGGGAATTAAGCTAAACTGTACGACCCAGTCATTTACCCGCCTGCACATTTGATCTGGCCGTTCTAACAGCCAGCCAGAGAAATGGGATCTTCTCGGGTATGCAATTTATAGTGTTCATAAGAAGAAAAGGGTCCATCAGCCAAGAGATGTATACCTATTGGTATGAAAATAAAGCTTCTTTCTCACGGGGTTTTTCCTAAAGGGGATAATGTGATGTCATGAACAAAGATAGCCTAAATGATGAGGTTCACAGGGCTGTTTCACATAATGACCGTCAATAGACTGAGGGTATCGGAGTGAATGTCAGTAAATGCGAATGGTGGCGGTGGTACCCTGTGCTGTGAGCTACCTGATCTCTGCAGATTTCGTTGGTTCAGATATAGTTTCAAATATCAGGATGAGTCAACGGCCTATATTTCCTTCCTATAGTTCTCCCTGGATGTTGTTTCTTTCAACCACACTATTGATAAATATTGCATGGTAGAGAGCTGGAGACTGTATTGTGGGCAGTGCAAATACGCTGCAGTGTGAACTAGACCATGAATCTGAGAGCAGTTCACGTCTGCCTCTGAAAACTAAGAAAGCTGGCAAGAGTGCTTGCTTCATTTCTACGACACACCTGAGTCCAAAATGTGCCCACAGACTGTCCCCACAGCGCCACTCTTTTTCACCTACTCCACGTGGGATCAGGTGGGTGAGCGTGTCACACTTGTACCCCACATAGCAGGGACAAAACCATTTTAGCCTGCAAAGCTTTTGGAGCACGTTTGGCCACATACACACCCCAGGCAAAGTGCAAGTCTCAACACAGACTTTCTGGTTTGAACACTGCCACGTCATATTACCTTCAGGGATAAACCAAAGTGACCAAGGTAACTTGTATGAGATTTTGTGTAAAATGGATAAAAATTAGGGACTATCAACCAAAAATAATGACTTCAAATGTCGAGAAGGTGATCTATGCCAGGGGTTGGCAAACACTTTTTGTAAAGGGCCAGAGATTAAATATTTTAGGCTTTACAGGCCTTCCACCCTCTCTCACAACTACTCATGTCTACTGTTCTAGCAGGGAAGGATCACAGACAATACATAAACTAGGAGTGTAGCTGTATTGCAATAAAACTGCATTTCCAAAATAGGCGGGAGGCCAGATTTAGCCCATAGACCACAGCTTGCCAACTCTGGATCCATGCCATTCTTTCTGGCAGTAATTACCCAGAAAGGCCAATTTTCTCATCAGGTTATTCCTAATAAGCTAATAAAATAAACGTTACAAAAATTTCATTCAGTATAAAAAGAATGATTATCCTTCTCATCCCTATATGGTGAAAATGCACGTGTATAATTCATCCAACAGTAGACCCACAGCAGTAACCAACGAGACAGAATTCAAGCCAGTTTACTCAGCCAGAGATTTTTACCAAGTCCTATAATAATATTGCAGTGCGGTTTTAAATTTCCCTCCAAACCAAGAGTCTATGCAGAATGCCTATAGCGTAAGCCTGAACTGATTCCTGTCCATAAATCTATTTACTCCATACATAGTCCATTAGTGCTCTTTATGGATTTCTTCACAGAATAGGAAGAGGTCTTTTTAGGGAATAGCCAAGACTAACATCCACCATTCTTCATATGCAACCTTGGCCTGGGGAAACCCCAACTTAGGGCTGATCAAGTGGAAGCTGGCTTCTCCTTTGGGTAAAATGTCTGGGAAGGGACTAGGTCTGTTACATGGAGTGGGAAAGCGTTCCCCTTTTGGAAGATGGGATTCAGTTTCTGCTTGGTCCAGGCAGGTAGGAGCCCACCTGGAGTGCTTGTTAAGATCAAGAAGCTAGTGAGGAGCAGAGCCCATCATACAGAATGGTCCTTAAGCAGGCCTGGAAGCAAACACTTTCTTGAGTGTTCTATTCTGGTTTGTTTTTAACTCAGCTGTGTAATGAAGAACTATTGCCAGTAAAAACTATTTAAGTAAAAAGGAGCTTGAAGTAAAATATCAGGGGAGACACCTGGATTTAGAGAGACAGCTGGAAGCCTCTTGGTGTCATTCAGAATTTGCGCATCCACGGGTTACCTTACACTTCTGAACTGGACCGCTTTGTCTGATCCAGTTGCCAAATCTATCAGAAGCAAGCCCCTTCCCTCTAGGTTTATTTGTAACTATGTGTTTCTAGTCCATCAGTTTTTTTTTTTTTTTAAAGATGAAGAACTTTAAAATAAACTTTAAATATTATAAAGTCCCTGAGAGTTACTTTCAAATTTTGTCAATTTCTTGGTAAATTATAACCTCCCAAAGTTATTTTTGGCTTCTTGATAGTATTTTCCAAATCAGGCACTTACAACTACTATAACAAGAAAAATATGAAATAATTACAAATAAATGTTATCATTAAAAATGTGCAGGATCTATGTAAAGAAGACAATATACTTACTAAGGTATATAATAAAGGATTTAAATAAACAGGGTATACATACCATGGCCCCAAATGGGAAAAATTTCAATTACCCCCCAGTTAATCTATAAACGTAATTCCAAACAAAAATCTGGATTTGTTAATTTCACAAAAATAGCAGTAAAATACCTCTGGCAGAATAAATGCATGGGACTAATATGTACATACACATACGTGTAAAAATACAGATGGACACTTGTGCTGCTACATATTTAGATATTTAAAGGTAAAATAAAAAATTCATGATTAAAACAGTGTGAGAGTGGTACCAACAAGACAGAATAAGCAGCATGGGATCGTGTGTGTGATGAATTGTGGTGGACAGGGAAAGCACTGAGACACAGACTTCCAGTGGAAATAAATGATCACTTCAAGATAAAGAACATGCTCATACTTATGTGAACAGCACAGAGAGCCAGGGCCAGCAGCAGGGGGATTCCGCAGCACCAGGTGGGTGTCAGAGCCCCAAGGAGATGTACCTTCAGGCCACAGACGGCAAAGACAACAGCCTGCATGAGGCAGGCCTCAGATGAGCTAGCTTAGCTCGCCATTTTCTTTCATAGTCAACTGTTGCTGAATATTTTATAAGATAGATTCCTAGGCAAAATCTTGATTTCCCCTAGTTGCTCCTTTATCAAAATATTCTCAAAACTGTTGAATCACTTCTGGATGTAAGTTCATAGACAGCTCTCCCTGCAGACACCTCACTGGGCTGCCCCCGGATACCATCATTAATCTAAATAGCCCCTGTGCTTGGCTGCCAAACGGGAGGCTTCCTTGCCGGATAATTATTTGGTATGGGATTAAGATGGATTTGCATAAAAGTGAGGAAAGACTGCATTGGACTCAACAGTTAACCACTTTGAAATAAATTAAATTCTTATCTCATGACATAACACAATAAATGCACGTGTATTAACGATTGAAATGCCAAAAGTGAAAGTGTAAAAGAATAAGGAAAAACAACATTTGTGCCATCTGGGAATGGAAATTGCTCACGATTCCATTTATGTATTATTATTTATTACTCACAAACTGCTTGTTGAATTATAAATTAGTAAATTGCCAAAGAGACAAAATGCAGAGGAAAATACAGATGTTTGACTGTATTTGAGTTTAAGATATTTGTGAGTCAAAAAATTAAGACAAACGATAAAAAAAAATTGTGAAAAATGTGTGGTGGATGTGGGATTGATATCCTTTATATAGAGAATTCTTAAAAATTAAAAAACAAGAAGATAAAAATAAGATAATCACCTGAATGGAGAAGAAATGAGCAAAAGAAACTATCAAACATATTCAAACATACACCAAACATATTTCCCCTATCAAATATCATAGAAATTAAAAAATGATGACTCTCACTAGTAATCAATGCAATACAACCTTTCAACTTGGTGAAAACCACTCTCCTCAAAAAAGAAAAAATCCAGGGCCGGCCCCATGGCCAAGTGGTTAGGTTGGCACGCTCTGCTTCGGCAGCCCAGGGTTTCGCAGGTTCGAATCCTGGGCTCGGACATGGCACCAGTCATTAGGCCATGCTGAGGTGGGGTCCCACATGCCACAACTAGAAGGACCCACAACTAAAAATGTACAACTATATGCTGGTGGGATTTGGGAAGAAAAAGCAGGAGAAAAAAAAAAAGAAGATTGGCAACAGTTGTTAGCTCAGGTGCCAATCTTAGAAAAGAAAAAAAAAATCCTACCCAGTGCCACTCAGAGTGAGGGGAGTGGGCACTACACTCTCATTCAGAATTGAAAGAATTATCAATCAGCACATTCTGACAAGAAATTAAACCAAAACCTTTACAATTACATTCCCTCTAACCTAGAAATTCTGATTCTAGAAATTTTTCCTAGGGAAAACAATTAAGGATAGGCACAAAAGTCTGCCTGCAGAGGTGTAAAGTATTGTTTATAACACCATTGAAATGGAAACAACTCAGATTTCTGACAATAGGGATCTAGTTAGAAAAAAACAAAAAACAGCAACAACGATTATGAAGCGTCTATATGGCTGAATGCTAAGCTAACATTTACAGTCATCAGAGATGTGTTCGTTATTCACTTGGAAAAATACAGTATTTTGGTACTGAAAAATCACATCACAGAACAGTTTGTTCAGCATTATCCCATTTTTTTGTGGAAAAAAATACACACATCTTTTTTTTTCAGTTCATTTTTGTTTTCTAGTTTTTCAACAAATGCATGTGTTGATTATATAGTTTTTAAAAATTAAAACTAGTAACAACTGGAGTTGTTTCCAAAAGGGTGACAGAGAGACTTCCAGGAGTGCAACTAGTGAGTGCAGAGGTGGAATGCTTCCTTCAAGTCTCCCCTCACTTTATCGCTCTTGAAGGAATGTCTCAGAACAGCATGGGATCAATTTGGAGCAGCATCATTGGCATGTCTGTTGTCAAGGCTAGTCATTTATTTAAGCTATTCTTTGTGGAAGGCTTCCCATACTCATGAGGGAAAGAAGCGGTGTGTGAACTCTTCACAAACAAAGCAAGGATATGTTTCACAGCAAGGGAGCTGGACTCGATAATGATGGTAGACATTTCTCAGTCTAATAAGCGAATCTGTTTCACCATGGAATTGTCCAACAAATGATGAATTTATTAATTTTTCTTTCTTTCGCAATGGGGATATCAGCTGATGCTTGTTATTTTACTGCAATGTTCATATGAACAGGATTCCCAGGAGATCAATAACGTCTTTTCAGTTGTCTTAGTAAGTGATTTGAGTAGAATGTGCCGTGACGCGATCAACTGTGAAGCAGTGGAGAACAAACAGCCACTCAGATCTTGTTAGTGAGAGTTAAGATGGTTGCTCTGCAGTCGGCTGGGTTCCTCAACCTGTGCCCTGATCAACAGCCCTCTGACCCGGGCAAGTTACCTCTCTGTGCCTCAGTTTTCTCATCTATAAAATGGGGATGATACTAGTTCCTACATCTTAGAGTTGCTGTAAAAATTAAATAGAGTAATGTGTCTAAAGAATCAAGACAGTCCCTAAAGTTTATTGAGTCTTTTATATTTATGACATCGACACTAATCGCTGGCTTCATGCACAGATTCAAAAACAATGCATGATGAAATCCAAGCAGAGGAAATATGAGAAAGTTAGTAATTAGGGGAAGTAACGAGAAATTCACTAAGAAAGCAAATGATAAAATATAGAGACACATATAGAAGAGGAAATTTGATGGGGGCAGAGAAAATTGAAGCAAGAGAAGAGAGGGTTTGAGTGACACTTGGCCAGTGCCTGTTGGTAGATTTGAACTAGGATATAAGTGGTACAGAATTAGGGGAGAAATAGGGAACCAAATCTTCCCTGGGGAAAGCAGGTGGACCAAGTCATGCATACCATTTCTCCACTGCCTCCAGAGCCTGCGTGATTAGTGTCTGATGGACCAGTAAAGGTAGGACAGTGGACAGGAGAAAGAGCATCTGTGAACTCCAAGGCCGAAGCACCTGGTGCCCGGTGAACACAGATCCTTCTTTCTGGCCCTCCCTATCTCTCCTAGAGTAATTCTTCTTTGGGTAAATTTTCTCTTCTCCCCTTCCCCACATTTCATTTAGAGCCCCAAGCCCAAGCCCCAAGTCTGTCAGCGATCTGAGTCACTGTGTGAGCGTGGACAGCGGCTCTGGGTTCTGGGTGTCATCACAATTGAGCTCTGTCTGTTAGCCACGAAGCCTGCCCATCTGCCTGAGACAAATGCTGCAACCAGCAACCAGTAGGAATGAGTCCCTCGATGAAGAAATGTAATCAAGTATTTATTGTCAGCCCTCTTTACATCTTCTACCTGGTTCTTTGCTCATTAAACATGAAGACCATGAATTACAGAGACCTCAGTCTGGAAGAAATCCCGATTCAGTTCCTATTACTTCCCACTTGCATTTCTACAGTAGCCTCCTGTCTTAAATCATTCCAGCTGCTATGACAAATTACCATTGACTGAGTGGCTTAGAAAAAACAGAGATTGATTTCTCAGTTTTGGAGGCTGGGAGTCCAAGATCAGGGTGACAGCATGGTCGGGGTCTAGTGAGAATCCTCTTCCAGGAGGTACACTGCCAACTTCTCGTCTTATCCTCACATGGCAGAAAAAGATCTAGAGAGCTCTCTGGGGTCTCTTTTATAAGGGCATTAATCCCATTCATGAGGGCTCCACTTTCATGACCTAATTACTTCCCAAAGGCCCCACCTCCTAACACCATCTGGGGGTTAGGATTTCAACATATGAATTTTGAGGAGACACAAACATTCAGACCACAGCACCTCCCAACTGATTTCCTTTCCTCATTCCAGTCCTTCCCACTGATCAGTCCTTAGGTAACAAGGCCTTTGTCATATCACCCTCCTGTTTGAGAACCAACACTTACTGTTGGTACGTTTGAGAACTTACCAACAGGGTAAGTTCAAAGTCTTCAACGTGCCATTAAAAACTGCCATAAGCTAACCTCATTCCACCCACCTTCACTGCTGCCTTCCCCAGCACATACCCTGGATCTAATCCTAACCTTCTGCCCTGCCGGCTCCACCCTCACTCTTTATTCTTGGCCTTCCTTTAATTGAAAGCAGTCCCTTCCTTGACTTCCCATGTCCCAGTCCAAAATCAAGTCTCTCTTATCGCCTTGTTCAAGATTTACCTTCTTTATGAAGCCTTCCCTAAATATACTCTACCAAAATCTTCAAAATATTTTATGGATGCTCTGCAATTATATATACACGTATTTATTATTTCATTCAAAAATATTTATTGAACACCTATTATGTACAAATAGGATTGTGTCAGATGCACCTTCACATCTGTGAAGAGCCCAGCATAAAGAACTCATTTATTCATCCAATAGATGCTTATTGAGTGGAAGCACTATGTTAGATAAGTTAGTAGATACAAAGATGAATCCTCTATCACCCACCCTCATCAAAACACTTACAGTGTGCTAGAAGAGACAAGGCATGCACGTGTGTAATTATAACACAACGTAGAAAGTGGTAAGTGCCCCCCAAATATTATAGAGCATAGAGAGTTCACAACAAGGAGAGATCACCTGCAGCTGAAGGGATTGGAGAACGCTGCAGTGAAGAGGTGGTGTTTCAGCTGGTCTTGAAGGATGGATAAGAACTGAGCAAGTGGCCATGGGGGAAGACACATGCTAGGGAGAAAGAATCAGAGTACAAGACAGTAATGACTGCATATAAATGAAACTCGCTGGGAAGGCCAGCAAGGGCTGTGTGTGGAGACTATGAAGGCCATGGGCAGGAAAGCAGACGTGGGAGGGCTGAGGGCTCCCACATGTTCACATTTCTCCAGACGGCCATGACTCACTGCCTGCATGATGATCCCCAGCAAAAGAACACTCACTGCCTGAACTCCTGGTCCTCTATGTCCCTAGCAGTGTGGCCGGCTTCTGCTAAGCTGCATGCACTGACTGCATGACGGCTTTAGGGGAAGAGACAGAAGAACTGCTATGGGAAGCTAGAATCTTGCCATCCGTTGGGAAATGCAAGGATGAGAAAGATCTGCATTGCCCTGGGCTGAGTCGGGGGGCAGCCTTCACGGAGGTATGTGTGGTAGGTGTAAGAGCAGTTCCTGTAGATTAGAAATTGTATGAGATTATCTCCAGGTATCAGCCATTTATTACCAGTTTGCAAATCAGGAGAACCTAGATCCCTCTAGAAACTCAGTCCAGCTCTGTGGTTGATGCTGCAGATGAGTCTATATTGCTACATGCTTGCAAAATGGCAGTATAGTATAGAGTTCAAGAGCACTGTGTTTGGAGTCTTTAGATATGAGTTTGAATCCGGGTTCAGCCACTTATTTTCCATGCAAACTTGCGCAACTCAATGTCATCTATAAAGTGTGAGTGACCTTATAGAATTGTTGTGAGATTTCAATGACATGATACTTATAAACTACTTAGCACAGTGTCTGACAGAACAAATGGTAGCTGATAGGAAAAATATATATATACACACACATATGTAGTCTTTGCCCAAACATGATAAAACTCCATTTATGCTGGGATAGCAGTGTGTGTGTTTTCTTGCACCAGGCACCAGGCTTAGAATTTCCTCTAGTTGGTATGATAACGTGAACAAACGTGAAGGTTAAAAATGGACCCAGATCACACCAAAAATTCACTTCTTAAAGAGAAATCTGACAGTATGTCAGATACACTCATAGCTTATAGTAATTACAGGACAGAGGCAGGTCCTCTAGTGACCTACTTCTTATTTGGGATATTTTGGGCTTTCCCAAAAGACTGCATGCCCTCTAAATATCAATCATCCCTCTGTTCTAGATATTTCAACTTGAGTCACCTCTTGCGATACTGAGCCACTTTGTATTACCCAGTAGATGAATTGGGTGCCTAGATCAAGCTTGGGAAATGGTAGGATGGGGTATCTATGGGTAGGGGTGAGAAGAGAATGGAATTTGCCAAAGAATCTCACAAAAACCTCACTTCTGAGGGAAT